AGTAGCAAATCTCAGGAGACCAAATGTAAAGAGGGGTGTTTTTTGGCCTTTTGCCTGACTGAAACAAGAGGTTCTAACCTCTCATTGCACACTTATTAGAGGGCTTCTGGTCTCAGGTTCAGAGCAATTGGGGGACCCTGAGGAAACATTACCTTTAGAAAGCTCATGGTTATAGATCTGAAATCCTGGGTCTCATCCCAGGGGGACCAAGCACTGGGTATTAAGAAATCATCTTGAAACACCTTTTCTACAACTTATTATTTCAGATTATAAGCTTGGAAGAGAGATGAGGAGGGGAAAAAAAACACATCTGCTGTGTGCCTGAAAAGGTATTATTTAACCTGACTTCCAAAGTGAGCATATTGAATGCCTCCTGTGTGTTAGGAGTGGGATCAGCACTGTAAATATGCTTCTTCAATTACTTTACTGTCCTTTGGAGTTATACTTAAAAGGATTGCCAGGAGGGAGTAAGGTCCTGCCTCAAACAGGTGTAAAATCTGTTTCCCATACAAGAGAAGAAGAGAGAGCCTGCATGAGCATTGTTTATGAAGTGCTACATTAAGCTTTTCTATTAGCAGAAGCAATCAGAAGAGATATTTCTCTTTTCATTTATTCAACTTTCTTTCATTTAAGAAGCATACTAATGCTTTTTACCATGAGTGGTATATCTTTTCCATCCTACTCTTATTATCCCAAATTTCTGCAATAATTCTCAATTTATTCACTTCTTTCTTTAATGAAATGATAGAGGATGAATTCAGTGTCTTGTGAACAATCCCTTTTAACAATGATAGGATTAAGAGACTGGACCCAAGTGAGCCCTCCAATAAATGTAAGCAAAGATATCAGAGCCCCTCCATACTTTCAGGGCCCTGGTTCTGAGACCTACGATCATTTGTACCAGACAGGACTGTAAGCCCATTTACTGGTCTCAAACATCATGACTGTGCGATATAGTAGAGAATTGGACCCAAAATCAGTGCCAGGATTTACCTTGGGTCTCAAATACTTACTAGAACATGATGCATAAAAAAAAAACTTAGAACCAGTTTTCTCATCTGTAAAATGGGAATCAAGATATCTACTTCTTCCTGATGTTTCCAATAACCTGTCCTGATGACATTCAAGGGTCATTTAAAGTGAATGAGGCATAGATGTAATGTTTTCCAAGAAAAAAAAAATCAATCAAATATCCCTGTAAGGACACTAAATAACAACCAGATTATCCATGACTGGTAATAGGAGAATCTCCATGTAGCAATGGGTTCCTGGCCTGACATGTAAGTCTCAAACCATTTTCTATTTATATCAGTCTTCCTCTTAGGGACAGATATAGGGCTTATCTAGTGAATGCAGGGGAAATCTGCCCATGATTTCATATACCAGACTCTGTTCTTTCTAGAACATTTAACTGAGGGTTTATTCATCTTAGGGAATTACAATGTGAAGAACAAGGAGAAGGTCACAAAACCAGAAAACTTATGGGATATAGCTTGCTGCTTTTCAAATTTATATTGCCTATCCCACCCTGGTTTCTGTTATGCTTTTGTGTAGCAAGTACTATCTCAACACCCTTCCAGAATCTGTCCATATTCATCAGTCTTATTTTAGATCCCAAACCAAATTCTTGACAATATTCCTTGAGCTCTAGATCCAGGTATATCTAAAGCATAGACTTGTTGGTTATGAGAGCTAATTATTCCCTTGCTTTGAATTAGCATGTTTATGTTTCTTTCAATTATAGACAAGTTGGTTTGAGCACCTATTTTATCCTTTATTTCCTACAGAGCTGGACACAGGTTATTATCTTTTGAATAAGCACCTCTATTATTAATCTTACCACTATTGGGAAATTAAAATACATATTGTTTCAATGCATATTTGTGGCAGAAATGAGAACTGACAACTTTTTTCATTTGTTCTTCAACTCATTAAAAATCATTTCTAAAATAAGGGACAAAAATAGGAGTAAGTAAGTTTTTCCCATTAATTTATTTATTAGACATTAATTCATTACAAAATTGACTCACATATAATTAGAAATATTTTAAATCACAAACAAATCGAAGTCATTTAAAATATTAAATGTTAAATTATATTTTACATTTATAGAATATCCACCATAAGAATTATAACTGGATGTCTGGTTTTGCTCATGTAACAAAAGAAATCTAGATAAAATATGACAAATATGTTAAGAAATATACTTACATCATGCAACTTGTAAACCAATTTTATTTGGTTTCATGAAAAATAAAGAAAAAATGAGACTTCTAATATTTACGCACATGAATCTTCTGGTAAACTGAAACAAATGTAAATTTGTGTACCCTGACTTTATACACAAGAAGTAAACTTGTAAAAAATTATCACTGGATGTCTAAATTCTATAGGTTCCTTTGATTCTGTGATGTAGGTTGGTTGTTGAATTAATTTGTCACATTGAAAAAAATCTTTTTTTGAAATAGATAAAATGGAGCAATTTTTTCCCATTGATTCACAGTTTTTTTTTCATCCAGTTTTTCAAAATTATGGTTTAGCATCACCACAGTTTTAAATTAATCCCATTCATTGTCACCTGCATAACTGAGGCTTTCAAGTGCCTTTATGCTCCAGATATTAGCAAGATACAAATAGGCTTTATTTTCAGGTGATCACAGAACATTGGAAATGTCATCAAATTTTAAAAAATTGATGCCAGGTACTAGTTTTAATGGGAGGTTAGGTTGCACCTGACTTTTTAGACCATTAACATCTGAAGGCCTCATTAATGTATCCTAGATAAGGAAAAGAACTCTTTGACCCTAAATGCTGAAGATTGGTCTGGCCACATACATCATACAAAAGAGGTACAGATCAATAGGATTATGGTTAAAACCTAGGAGAAGAAAATCCATGACTAGAAAATGTTACATACAACATTAAAGGTATTATTCATCACAAGCACAAGTTCTTAGTTCTTATTTCTCCTCTTACATTAATAAAATATTACCTGTAGATTACAGGAGTGGCATGGTAAAACCATAATAGAATATATACTTAGGTGAGAGAAATTTCCAGTTTCTCAAACATCAACAAAAGAACTTTTATACATAATGGAAACGAGTAGCAAATGTCTATAGATATGTAGTCCCAAGAAGATGTGGTAATTTTCTTTCATCCATGGTATAAGCCAGAGCAAGTTACCATAATTTATCACAAGCGTGCTATAATTTCTTTAAACCAGGCTGAGATCAAGCTTCATTTAAAAATGGTTACATTTTATAAGGCTCTGTTTTATCTACCAAATGCACTGTGCTAAGCCTGGGTGTTTCCTCACGGTATATAACATGTGATAAGGCACACAAAAATGCAAAATAAGTATTTGTTGACTGATCAGTTTTGTTTTACAGCTAGATCATTTAATCTTTTAAAGTAGTTATGTTGCTTTCTTGATTCCTAGGGTGTTAAAGTACAATCAATCAATTTTAATTATTTAATCTTAATTCTTAAATTTGTTATTTTAAAAAGATAAATTTCACCCATCAGGGGCACAGATACTGCAGTGTTAAGCACTTCTTTGTTACTGCTTTTGTTTTGTTTTAGAAAATAGAGTGTGTTCTACCTCTTCCGAAGTCATGAAAATACTCTGGAGAATAATATTAGTTAATATCTTAGTTTCTCCTTCATGGATTATAAAGAAAACTAGAGGTTAAGAAAACTTTCTAAAACAGATTACTTGCTCACAATCATCAAAATAAAGAAAAGCCAAATAGCAACAGCAATGAAAGTCATGTCTTGGTTACAAAGAATCCCAAAGGGCACAGTCATGTTCTCAGGCACTGATGGTACAACATGACTTATTGAGAGGTGGGAACAGAAAAACAGGAAAGAGGTACACCCTGGTGGATCTTATTGCTAACTGACGTTTTCTCCAAAAAACAGAGGTACACATCGTTGATATGTAAATTATTCTGCAAAAGATAGAGAGCATGAGGAAAACAAACACAAGCACTAAGAATATATGTTTTTATTTAGAAAGAGAAATCTTTGATGTCAAAATTTACATTATATTTATGCACATATTTAAAAATTATTATCTCTATTTGTTAGATGCCAGTTACTCTCACATACTTAGACTGAATTAACCTACAACATGGGCTCATACCAAAAAAAGAATACTGTGATCAGAGCAATGGTTTCTTGTGTCGACTACAAATGGCTCATGTTTAAGAAAAATTGTATGTAAAGCTCATCCAACATACCTATAGTGTCCATCAGAACTAAAAAGAAGAGTGAGCTGGGTTGGCAATGTTGGAGTAAAGCTGATGGACCCAGCCTCGGTTTATAGAATGTTAGTGATGGTCTCATCTATCTTCTGTATTCTGCAGCCAGGAAAACTGAATCTTCACCCTTGGGAATTGGGTTTCTTAAGGTCACAGCAAATATTGGCTCTGAGTCTCATGAGGGTGGCCACAAGGTCTAACTTGCTCTCGTTTATTCCATCACCACCCCATAGGACAGTGATTTGTACATAGCAGGTGTTGTACAAATATTTCGCGTGGGCCAATGAATGGAAAACTGAGTAGATGAATAAGTGAATGAATGAGGGAGACAACAACAGAGTTTGGCCAGACAATACTGGCAGGACAAGACCCTTGACAGCATCTGGGCGATTAGGATGACAACTTGTTGTTATCAAGCATCCCTTAGCCATGTTCTAGTTTGAGTCATGTTGGCTAAAGAGGCAATGCCAGGTGCCTATAGAAGCTGATATACTGTGGCATATTTTGAATTAATTTTAATTCTTTTTCATCTTTTAGTTTATCAGTGGTATTGCTTATTCAGTAGAGTTGCAACTCATTGAAGAGGCTTTGTCAACTCCACAGGGCACATAACTTACTGAACTGTTCTACACATGGCCCTGCTCACAACTACATTATGTCTTTGGGAATGATGATGTCCAGAGACCCTTGTTTCTACCCCACCCCCATGATCGGAGCACTCAAGAATAGACACTTGGAGCGATAATAGTGTTCACTCTCGAGGCAGTTTTCAGAAATGAAGAGGAACAGGACAGGATAAAAGTGAGAGGGTAGAGGCTGTGAACATTCAAATTGCTTGATGAAAGGAGAAAAGCTGTTAGACTTGTTATAATTGGAACAGCATATGTAGGCCTCGAAGGAATATTCAGGCAATTGGAAAATACCTTTTCAGGTACAGGGCTAAGGGATGAAGTCAACAGCAGGTGTTGGTGTGTAAACAAGTCAAATTTAGGTGAAAGAAGAGCAGGCATGTTTCATTATGGATTCGTGGGAGCTGTTCTCTGCAGATTTAAGTGGGTAATTGAGAGTCACATTTAAAGTGGCAGGAGACAGTCAGGGCAAAAGCTTCTGTGTTCCAAATAGTCAGGTTCAAGTGCAAGAGAGGTCTTTGTAAACAGAGTTTATGGCAGTCTTTCATGATAGAAGGGAGGTCACTAAGACTGCTTAGGGACCCAGGTAAACTTCCAGCCTCCCTCCTCATCTCGACAAACAAAGGCTTGTCCCTGGTGGAAGGAATGAGTTTTCACATTACAGTGAGGGCTCAGGGATGTGGAAAAGGCCATCTCTGTTTTATTGGGTGACACATCAGAAGTATAGTAAGGAGAAGTTTGAAGCCCTCCTGGGGGATTTGAAAGTTGAGAAAGGAAGTGAAAATCTTCCCTGTGCCCAGCAGTGCTATGTGAGGGGGTTGCTGGGTCGCCTCCATAGTCAATTGGCAGATCCTCCCTGGGGACATTTTCATAATCAACTGCATCATCCAGAAATGGAGGAAATGTGCTGGCAATTCTTCTGGGATGAGAGGAGTGGGCACTGTAGTTAGCTGATAAAGTGTCATCGATGGTGTTGAGGTCTTTTAACCCAAGGGTCTGAAGAACCCAAGGGTCCACAGGGGGCCCAGGCTGTCCTTCACAGTTAGCAAATTCACTAGAGAGGTTTCTCTTGGCATTTTTGTGGTGGGGGATCTCAGGAGGAAAGTATCTTTGCTCTTTGGGTTTCCTCTTTCCCTTTCTGAATTGTCCAAATGCTTTGGAGAACTCATCTGATGACAGCAATTTCTAAGGAAGTAGTATTTGGAAAATATACAGTCAGATAGTCAACCAAGATAATTTCTTTACTGTTATCTAATTAAACCTCCTTCACATATTTACTAATCATCTTAATTAATTAAAAACATGATTAAAATTCTATTCTCTCACACATACACTAAGTAAAAGTAATTGGAGTCATTTCTGTCTCTAAATTAAAATATATAGTGACAAGTAACTACCTGGAAACCACAATTCATGTTTTTTACTAATCATTTAAAAGTTGAAAGAAATGAATAATATCTGTAAATTTTCAATTCATGGAAATAATTATCGTTATAATAACGACAATAACAATAACTATCATGTATTGAACGCTGACTACACGCATATATTCATCTCATTTTATAAAATCCACTTTAGTGAAGAAACTGAGGCATGGGCATATTAGAGTCTTACTAAAGATCGTGCAGCCTACATTAAATCTAATCATCTGAACCTAGACAGAGTGGCTGATTGAAACAATATTTAACACTGATTCTTCTTATTCTGCTAACTTTCAGACCACTCTCACATGATATGTATTATTCCACACTTTGAACAACTGGGGAAAAGAGAAAAAATACTGTCTAATCAATCTCATTTACTAATTTAATGCATGTCCTTTTTTACAAAATGGTGGCTGAAGTTATGAGCCCAAGCTCCTAACTGTGAGATGTGCTCCTTTTCTTAACAAAGCTGACCAGCTTGTAAAGGAATTGTAAAGAAATCAGATATGGTACCCTTTCTTCTCTCAACTGTTATTTCCAGTGAAGGTGGTAAGAAGCTTCATCAATTTAAATAAAATAATATCAAATAATGCAGCTTGTCTAGTGGCAGGGTAAAGATTGATGACAAAGCAATAATGATAACAGAACGGCAAACAGATAACAAAAATACAAAACCCAAAAGAAAGGAAGAAGAACAGAAAGAGACTATGGACAAACTATTTGTCCTTGAGTTAGAAATAGTCCATTCTAAAAGGATAAGATAAAAAGGTTCACTAAAAGATAATGTAATTTGTGATACATAATTGCCAGTCAAAAGATCTGGGCTCCAGCCCTATTCATAACATTTCAGAGCTGGGAGATACTTAAAGAATCTTTTAGCCCCTGCATTTATGGTTGAAGGTAAGTGAGGCTAAGTGACAGGGAAATGTATTCAAAGTCAAGCAGATAATTAAAAAAACCAAGTGTCTTTCAGATCTGATTCCCACTCCAGCGTTCCATCCATTTAACTCTGTCTTTTGATTAACCTCTGCTGTCTTAGCAATTCCCTGGACTGGCTTACGATTCTTAAGCAACTCTTTTGGTAATATATGGCTAAAATATGCAGTCTGGATTCTTCCAAGAAATAATACATAACAATTCTTGAGGAAGTGCTATATTTCTTTCAGAAAAATCCATCTAGCCTATGAATGCCTTTGAAGCCATGCTGTTCAATACACCTCCTACACTTAATCAAGCAGTGTTAGCCAAATGGTCTCCATTCTCAAATCACTGCTCTGCTCTTACAAAGGGGTAGTTACATACCTTGGCCTTTTCCTCAAGACATTTAACCAAAGCAGAATTCAGGTATTGTCTGAGATGATTATTCTCTTCATGTAACCTAGCAAGTTCTTCTTCCTTCTGCACCAGAGTATCTTGGAGCTGCAAAAAGCATACAATGGTGAAGGCCCCTCCACTATATTGACTTTGTAACCTTATAATAATGCCACTGATCCTTAACCTGCTTAAACTTGATTATTATTCTATTTGTTTTATGAACCAAACCTCAGGGAACCCTTGTCCTCTAAGGCCTAAATTCAATCTACACCCACCTACCACCCCATTGTTCAGTTTTGTGCTCTGAACTTTGTATTCATTGCAAAGTATTTGAAGAGATTATATGACTTTTAAGATTGCAACCACAAGGGGATCGGGAAGGTCTGTAGGAAAATGAGCTGTGTGCAACTGTTTAAATATAGAAAAATGTGTTTAGAAAGGTTTCGCTGGACTCTTTCCTTGAATGTTAAGAAAAGAAGAAAAACAAGGAGGGGGTTTGCTTCCCTCATCTTCAGATGATCTGTTTGTATATCCACTAGATTAAATTACTCTCTCAGGAACAACAACAAATAAAACATGGAAAATGAAACATTCTTTGCAAAAACTTAATAATCATCATCACTTCTCCAAGTGATGGCCTATGTTTATGGATTAAAAATACAATCACACGGGGCGCCTGAGTGGCTCAGTGGGTTAAAGCCACTGCCTTCGACTCAGGTCAGATCCTGGGATCCAGCCCTGCATAGGGCTCTCTGCTCAGCGAGAAGCCTGCTTCCTCCTCCTCTCTCTCTCTGCCTGCCTCTCTGCCGACTGTGATCTCTGTCTGTCAAATAAATAAATAAAATCTTAAAAAAAATACAATCACACTCAGTATATCATTTGGTCTTTGCAACAGCCCTCTCAGGAAGGCAGCATAAATCTTTCAATGTCCTAGGTAAGGTAAAAGAGGATTCAAGAGGTCATATAATTACAATGTGTGAAATCAGGGCCTGACTGTAGGTCCTCCTACAGGGTTTTGGAGGTGGTTGTTGACTTTGTCGTTGTTGCTTTTCCCTGTGACACTGATCATCTATCTTCATGTCCATACTCTGGACATATATCCACTTTGGCTCTAAGCTGAAAGTCAATATATGAATTTAACAAGGGAAAAGAAGCAAGGTGACATCAAGGGACGATGTTAAGAATAAACTGCATGCAAAGTGAAGCAAGTCAGCCTGAGAACGACAAATGCCATATGATTTCACTCATATGTGGAACAAGCAAAAAAACAAACAAAAAGCAGAATCAGACTTATAAATATAGAGAACAAACTGAGGGAAGGGGGTGGGTGGACGGACCAAATGGGTGAAGAGTAGGGACAGATACGGGCTTCTAGCTATGGAATGAGTAAGTCATGGGAATAAAAGGCATAGCACGGAGAATACAGTTAACGTTATTATCGTAGTGTTGTATGGTGACAGATGGTAGCTACGCTTGTGGTGAGGATAATGTATAGAGAAGCCGAATCACTATGTTATACACCTGAAACTAACATAACATTGAGAGTCTGTTAGACTCAAAAAAAAAAAAAAAAAAAAGTGAGAAAAAAAAAAAAAAAAACTACATGGACCATGTCGGTCCAGTCTCAGTATTCTGACGAGCTACACATACCTGCTTGTTTCTGTAGAGCTGAGAGGAAAGCTGAGCTTCTTCCCATGAACAAGAGTTAGGAGCAGAGAAACTGGAGTCACAGGATGATTCTTTGTGAAAATACCAAATGGATAAGTGAGAAAACTCCCTTGCAGTTTTTGTGTAATACAGAGCTCATTGAAGGATTTCAGACATTTTAATAGATTCAATTACCTTTCTAAAAATAGCTATAGCCTCCACACAGGAAACAACATATTTAAAGCCTTTTAGAAGGGATAACCATGCTGTGAAAGACAAATATTTATAGACTACATGCCCAAATGGCTGAAAGGGTGAATTTTTAGGAGCTAAGAGGTCCATATTTCTTCTTAATATATAAATTTCCACTGGCTAAATTTATAAAAACCATCCCATCTGTACTATGAATTCACTCAGAAATTTATTGATCCTTTCCTGACTCATCATAACATTGAAATTCCACTATGTTTTCCAAGTTTCTATCTTACTTTCTAAGGTTTCGTGCTTGATAACATAGTGTTTGGCTCTAGAATCAGATGCTATTCTTGATGAACTATTTCTCCCCAGATGAAAATCTCTGCCTATTTGCATGCCAGTTAAAGCTGATGGAGACTACTCAGAATTATGAGTGGTAGCATTTCTTACTTTAAAGTAATTTGGATCTTGCTTCTCTGAAGACCTTGATGAAAATCTCCAAACTGTACCCTGAACTCAGTGTAGGAAGTGGTGGCACTTCCTACTTTAAAATAATTTGGATCTTGCTTCTCTGAAGACCTTGATGAAAATCTCCAAACTATACCATGAACTATCTTTTATGCTTTTGTGGAGTTCTGGTTTTTTTTCCATATTTGATTGCAAACTATGAGTAAAAATTATGTTTGGGCATGCTATACTGGTTTATTTTTATTTTATTTTCCTCATCTAGTACAGTCTGACTCTTCCCCATCTCTACTGAAACTGACATATTACTGAAATATTTTTTTACTGAATTAGAATGATGAGTAGGGAGACAGGAATCAAATTTTATACAGTTTGGTTTCATATTCTTGGGCATTCTGTCTTCTTTGTTGCTTGTGGCAGAAAACTAAAGTTGAACAACTCCCTTCCTGACATATATGTATTTCAATATTTTGGGGCTTTTTGTTTGTTTTTTTCTCAAATTCACATGCACACAAAATAATGTGGCTGAACCAGGAGTTCAGATACTTAATTCTGAAATGTCTACCAGTTTTTCTAGAAACCGAGTGTTAATATATAAATTCCTTTAATATTTATAAATACTGCTTACTAAGCCCCAGGTGATAATTAATATACAATTTTCATCACAAAGTTATCTCTCCTTCCAAAGCTGACATCTTCTTTGAGCAAAAGGAATCATTTTTTTTTTCCTTTTACAGGATGCTCTTCATAGAATTTCCTTAGGAAATAAAAGAGTAAGTTATTAGTTTTCCTTGTTTCCCTCTTAAACTCAAGGGAGCTTTCCTGAATTCCAAAAGAAATGCTCCAACTGGTATCTGACTCCAAAAGCATCTTACAGTATTTGTTTATAAAACTTTGGCCCAACCCTAAATCCCTTAGTGGGTTGGAAGTCTCTAGGAACTGTTAAGTGTGGGGAGAAATACATATTGTCCAGTGGACAAGGACAAGATTCCCATTTTCACTATCTGGCAAGTATAGAAAAGCAGCTTATTTAGGCTTTGAAATTCAGGAGTCTTTGGGCTTTCTTCAACTTCCTATAGCATCTCTTCTTCTACAGGGTTCTGGCCCATGATGCTTTGCAACTATGGGTGCTGAAAAAGGGCTTCAGACCTACCAGGAAAGCAGACGAGCAGAACTTACCCAGTGCCTGTGGTGCTTGTTGGGGCTCTCTGTTGTCCAGGAGATCAGCAGCCCAGAAAGAGACCCAAGTCTCCGTGGAAACGTCAACACTAGATTCTGACGTTGTAGTGGAATACGGGCAATTATAACTCTGACCTCCTACAAAGTACTGGTCTTGGCAAGGCAGAACAGTGTTCTGTGAAAGTCAGTAGGAAAGATTGGAGCAGGGGTGGGAAGGGTCCCAGGAGATGGGGTGATTGGGATTTGGAGGAGAATAAGGATGGAAGAAAGAGACACGAATTATATGCAATGAATCAAAAAACAGTACAGGTGTTAAGCACAGATTCCAGATTAAGTCAAGTGGTCAAAATACATAATGACTAAAAGGGAATCAGCCTCTTGGTTTACCCAGTACTTTCCTGAGGACCCTTCAGCAAAAAAAACAGGTTAGTATTGGATGGACCACATTTGTAAATATCCAGGAGTATTTTCTGTTTCTATGACTGAGTCTTCTTACATGCTATCCAGGATCTATGTAAAAGGAATTCTACTTACTGATTGAAAGACCTAAGAACTATTTGGCTCTTTCTAACAAATAACTTAATTATATTTCTAATAACCTTGAAAGACACAGAGCCCAGAATGCTAAGGCTGAAATGGACTGAATATAACATATAAGGAAATCTCCTTATTTTAGCTTCTTAGTTTCTCAATTATAAACTTACCCCATTTCTTCCTTCCTCCTTCCTCTGGCTTTAAATGCTGCTGGATCCTATGGTGTTCCAAATGGTTTGAAATGGACGTATTGACATATAGATACATTCCAGAGATAACTAAATACATTTGCTCCTCCAAACACAAGCACATATAGTCACTCCAAGTAAACATACCATCAGAGCTGAAATATGTTAGTCAGCCGAGACAGCAGGCTCTAGCTCTCTCCAGCACCAGGTCTCTACGCCCTTGCAAAGTTATCTTGCCACTACTAACTGCCTGGCATCTATTCTGCACTGTGTTCTGAGCCAGTGAACACCCTCCTGCCCCCGACTCCTCAAACTTCAAACACACACTCTTTCCAAATATCCAAGCAGGGGCAGATATGCAGCCTTCCTGGGTTAATTTGTACAACAGGCCATTCTTAATTATTTGTCAATGTTTAATCAGGTAAAAAGCCATTCATTTCAGCAGAGCTCAGCTTTGGACAAACTCCTTTTTGACCACTACAAGTCTTTTGTTGACTTGAGGACTTTCTTGGGCATAACATAAACAGAGAGAAAATAAATAATAAGGAGAGAGAGACACACGGAGAAAAGTTAATTAAGTCACAATTTGTTAATATTCCCAGTAAGCTAAGTCTTGAAAAAGTCCAGTCTTGAAGCAAGTCCAGCTTGGGCAGTGCAGACCAAAGAAATTCAGCCCAAAGTTTATCAAGGACAATTTTCTTTTATTCTAAAAGCATGTTTGTAAGCTCTTTCCCTGAGGTTATTATTGAAATCAAAGCTGAACTATTATGCAATTGACACCTGAGAAGAAAACAAATCTCAAACACCCCTAGACTAACTCAAATCCAAATGTTTGCAAATATGCGTCTAATCTAGAGGAAACAGGTGGAAAGAAAAGTGAGTGCAGGTATAGAGGGAAAGAAAGTTGGGAGAAAGTACAGAAAGTAGAAATAACACAGTGGGTAAAAGGATGAGAAAGATGGGGAATGAGAGAGAGAAGATAGGGGGGAAATAAGCAGATGGCGTAGCAGAGAAGACCCCTTTTAATGGGCAAGGTAGCCCAGAAATCTTGCAGCCAAGGCGGAAAAAATTCTAAATGCAGAGTTTACTAGCTCTCAGAGCCCCCAGGTTTCCCCAGCGCATTACCTAAACGCTGGCTCCTCACTTACCATCTTGCAGTGGAAGAAGGCGCTGCAGAAACTGAGCCTTCAATTTTTCGGAAAGCCCTGGGAGCTTTAAATGGGACTGAGGGGAGGAGCTAGGAGAGGCGAGTTCTAATCTGCGGGAACTCCCAGTGACGCCAGGGACTCCCGGCGAGCACCGCCCTCTGATTTGGTGCGAGGCTGTCAGACTGGTGACGTGGGTCAGCAGACCTGAAGCCAAAGTCACCGGCACTCACGGCGACGGCCCCGCGGGGACCTTGAGACCTGTGAGACCTGCCGTGGCGCTCAGCGTCCCGGTGCGCCGCGCGGCTTCAAAACCCGCGCGGTGCCCGCTCCCTGCCAGCTCTCTGCCCGAGGTCGGCGGGGAGTTGGGGTGGGCGGGGACCGCGCCGCCCGCGGGACTGGGCGAACCCGGCTCCCTGAGCGGGGCGGGGTGGACTGTCCACTCTGTGGCCCGGGCATCAGGGTCAGAGAAAGCCTAGAGCAGGGTCTCGGGGATCAGAGCAGCACTTGGGGAGCAGGTGCAGCAGCCCCTAGACATAATACTGCTCCTGTGTTTTTCCTGGCCACGTGATCAATACCAATTTACTGAATGACATTGTGAATTGATTGGCTTTTTTCCTACTATTTGATAGATCTCCTTCCCCCAACTCCTGAAGTGGGTGTGAAATGTGAAGATGATCTATATCCATTCTAGAATGAAAGTTCAGGGGGAATAGCCGTTCCTGTCCATTTTGTTCAATGTTGTCTCCTAGATGCCTGGAACAATTCCTAACTGGTCATGGGTGCTCAATAAAGAATTAATTAAGCTACAAATTTAAGAACCTAAAGTGTCTGTCTCTGTCTTTGGTCCTATATTTACAACTACAATTATATAGAATAAGTTATTAGAATTAAGAAAAATACTTTTCAAAGTATTTGGTTCCCCCCATCTTTTTTTTTTTTAAGATTTTATTTATTTATTTGACAGAGAGATCACAAGCAGGCAGAGAGGCAGGCAGAGAGAGGAGGAAGCAGGCGCCCTGCTGAGCAGAGAGCCCGATGCACGGCTCGATCCCAGGATTCTGAGATCATGACCTGAGCCGAAGGCAGCGGCTTAACCCACTGAGCCACCCAGGCGCCCCTGGTTCCCCCCCATCTTTCCTCTTGCATTTTATTCTCACGATTCCTATGAGGTTATAATCCATAGGAGATAAAGGAGTAATGCCATTTTTAAAACCATCCATCTACTACTAATAGCCAACTTTTATTTCAACTGGCAATAACCTAGGGGGCAGGTGTGCTTATTGTCTCTGTTTCAGTGATGAAGCACTGAAGTTAAGAAACTTTTGACCATTGATTACACAATTAGCAAGCAGCAGACTCTGGGTCTGAACCTCTGGCCTAGCATCCATGCTCCTAACTATCACAATTCTGTTTTATTTTTTTTTCTCACTGCACATTATAGCCATTTCTGTAATGGGCATTTGTAAGGACTGAATTGTGTTACCTCAGGATTTGTATGTTGAGTCGCCAACCCTGAATGTGACTGTATTTGGAGGTTGGGCCTCTAAGAAGAGAATCAGGGTTAAGAGATCATAAGGCTGGCGCCCTAATCTGGTAAGACTGGGACTTATAAGGAGAGGAAGAGACACAGGAGATGGCGTGCCTAGAGAAAAGGCCATGTGAGAACAAGGCCGGAAGGTGGCCATTTGCCAGTCAAGGAGAGAAGCCTCATCAGAAACTGATAACCTGGCAACACGTTGGTCTTAGACTTCCAGCCTCTGGAAATGTGAGAAAATGTTTAAGCCATCTCATCCCTGGTTCTGGAAGCCCTAGCAAACCAATCCGGGCATGGTGTAAGGATTAAGAAAACTTCAGAATCTGGCTTGCATAGTCCTCTCTCTAAACCAGTTTTGACCTGTATTCGTTTTGCACTGGATTTTACTCATCATCCAAAACACTTAGCGATGGCTAACACAGCGAATGCTCCTGAAGTGTTCTGTCTCTGACATTAAGGAGGGAATGGAAGAGGAAGAGGAGGAAGGCACCAGACTTGGTCGGCACCATTTCTCCTGTCCCATACCGTTTGTTCACAAACATTTCTAAGTGAATAAAACAAACTTTGGGGATCACTGCCTGGAAGACTCATGGGTCTTACACAGGGTTAAACGACATAATGCATTTCAGTGAGTGACCACTCTCATGGCACAAGGGGTGGGGATACCCTGGCACTATGACCCTGAGATGATGGGGGAAACAGATCAAAACCTGTTTCGGTTATGAGAATTGATGATCTTGTTCAGGGCAAAGAAAATCCTAATCACTTTTCTGATAAGAGCCAGGGAAAGAAAAAGGAGGATTAAGTTGTTTTGTTTTTGGAAACTCATAAAATAGGTATGTGAACCTCTGGACAATATGATTTCTTGACTCTAAAAATGACACAAAAGGGGAAATTGAATAAATGCGCATGAAACAAAAGGGCATAGGCTTTAGGTACAGATGTAACTGCGGTCTGATTCTTGTTCTACTCTCTGAGCCTGAAACACCTGGGGCTATATTACATGGTCTCTAAATTCTCAGCTCCCATGGTAAATTAAGAAAGAAATATGTACCTGAGAAGCTTATTAAAAAGCTGACCACTGGGCGCCTGGGTGGCTCAGTGGGTTAAGCCTCTGCCTTCAGCTCAGGTCATGATCTCAGGGTCCTGGGATCGAGCCCCACATCTGGCTCTCTGCTCGGCAGGGAGCCTGCTTCCTCCTCTCTCTCTCTCTCTGCCTGCCTCTCTGCCTACTTGTGATCTCTCTCTGTCAAATAAATAAAAAATAAAATCTTTAAAAAAAAAAAAAGAGAGCTGACCACTGTCGCCTTGAAAACTCCAAATTCACTGCCCAAGTCACGAAGAGCAACTATTATTATGTGTAGAGGACTCTTTGAGCAAATATGCTGCTGTGTCTTGCCTGTTAAAAATAACTGAAAATAAAAGCTACATTTATTAAACATACTTTTGAGGGCTAGACATATTTTTTTAAAAAGTCTTTGATGGATTTTTAGCACAGAGACATGTCATAAATCATTAGCTGCTTTAGCTTAGTAGGAGTCGAGTGTATATGGTATTAGTGGATCCCTAAAGTTAAGCCACAAAGAGCTATTGGCAACTGAACATAAGTCACAAGATAAAGCTTACCTGAAATCATAAACTGATGGAAAATTTTCCAAATCCTTAAGGTCTGATTTAAGCATATCGTTTTATTTAAGATGTACTGCTTGGGGGAGTGACTTGGGGGTCTCAGTTGCAGGAGACCCACCTCAGGCTCCCTGTTCAGTGGGGAGCTTGCTTCTCCCTCTCCCTCTCCTTCTGTCCCTCCCCCCCCATCATACACTTTCTCTCTCTCTCAAATAAATAAATAAAATCTTTAAAAAAAAAGAGATCTACTGCTTGGGTATAAGCGTTATTTTTTTGTTTGTTCGTTTGAAGTTTTGTTTTTTTGTTTTGTTTTGTTTTGTTTTTTTGTTTTGTTTTTTTAATGTGGCAAGTAGGAATAATGTGAAATCCTTTGGCCATTTCTTAATTCATATTTTTGAAGGAAGAGGTACAACTTCTTTGGTGATTATTTTTTCTTCTATAGACATTAAGATCAGTAAAAACGGTCTTTTGTATTGTGGCTGAAGAGATGGTGTTGAAAGAGAGGTAGCTAATAACAGTCCAACTGTTGAACTGGGGTACTACCTCCTGCCAGGACGAAGAAATAATAAAATAAAAGGTAATTTGACCTGCACACAAACCAAGTCTGCAGACAGGAAAGGGTAGTGTGTGATCAGTGGTGGGCCAAGGAAATAAACAGATTGGCATATGGAATGTTCTTTTATTTCACCCCTGGAGGACACTTTATTTGATTACCTCGTTAGTGAATTCAGTAGCATATAGAATAAGAGAACGAGATAGAAATTCTCTTTACAAACATGGCCTCTTCCTACGGCTTCAACAGCTGAATCTCCAGGCAATAAAAAGATTGTATTTCTGCTTTCACATATAAGGAAAGAAAAGCTGAACCCTTAGAGAAAATTCAGTCCGGTAGATGATTTACATTGGGAGACTTAGCCTTTGCATATTTTATGTGAGCAAGTCTGGAGAACCATGACGTATTTAGTTCGTTGAGGCATAGTTTTGAGTTTCACCCTTCCAGAATAATGTGTGGAAATCAATCATGCTGATAGGGGTAGAGTCTTGACTATTCTCTACCACCCACATGTCAGCAGAGCTTCTAGTAACCACACATCTACAATAACATGCCATGGTAAATCTGTTCCTATCTGAACAAAGATATTTATACAAAAGAAAGTTAACTGTTAATTCTGGCAACAGAAAAGGAAAAAGAATAAGTTTGAGAAAATTATATCAGGTTATTAGCCAGAAAAGAGAAGGACCTTGGACAAATTAAAGAGAAAGATGTTTAATTAGGGCCTGGGAAGATTTGTGCAGTTTGAAGCTAAGAGTGTGTGTGTGTGTGTGTGTGTGTGTGTGTGTGTGTGTGGTGGGGGAGGGGGGCGAGAAGATAAAAATTTATGATATCACTTTATTGGGTGTTCCAGCCAGAATTTATTTCAATAGCTTTATAAACAGTTTTAACCCTTATTTTTTGACTCATTAAGTGATTGCTTAATTTTTCAGTTGTACTTTGTTGTATTATGTTAAGGCAGACCATACACTATAATTATATTCACAGATTTGAAGATTCTCAAGTCTAAGGGTGTATCTTTCAAATATTATGCCATATTTGAGGGATAACTAGCAAAGGAATAAAGATCTGTATTCATTGTAGAAAGGGAGGCAAGCCTTCCCTGCACTCTGTAACATTGTTTTCTGTCTTTTCTCTTAAAATGACACTTGGAAATAGTATTTGTGGGCATGCTGGAATAAATAGCTGAGGCTTATCCCGATGGGCTTGGGGGTTTCCATTTCTTCTAGATGCTGTCAGGCCACCCGGAGGATGGGGCTTTAACTCATCATGCCTTGGTGCACTGGTAGGGAATCTGCTCTGTGATAATCTATCTGACCAAACTGTAATAAAATAATTTCAACACTACTATAAAAATACATACAAAACAGAGAAATTAATCTTCCTGTACCACAAAGGTTAGAGA